GTTTCGAGCATTGTTGAATGGCATTTTAGATACCCTCGGTTTCGCTCATTCTATCATTATCAACCCTTCACTGTAACTACGGACTCGGATGCCTATTAGACTCAACACCTTTTAAATGTATTATTATCTTTACTATAAAAAACATCACACAGTGTAACTAATAACTTATTGCTCTCGGTTTTATTGCGCCCACGAATTAAGTAATAACCACCATTCTTGTTCGTTGAGCGATCCCTTAATGCGATGTTACTGGAAAATCACTGAGTCACTGGAAGTTGTTCATAAATGCGTCGCACAAAAATTCCCAGAAAGGTGTGCCTCGAGTTTTTTTTTCGCCTGACAGGAGGGAGGAGTTTCCTCGTTTTAAATGTAACTTTCAAGTAATGTCTGGCCTTTAACTATTCTTATTTTTATGGGTTCATTTACGGATGCTTTTGGGCAGAATAGTTCGTTTAGCTCGGGATCATGGTATCATGATCGTGGTATCACGATGAACTTGTGCATTTCATTGGTGAGAGTTAGCTATGACCATTATTTCAGCCCAGAATGACATTGAAGTTGAAAAACTACAGACAGGTTTCATCAATAGTTAAGACATGTTTGCGAGAGTTTGGCAATGTGTCTTTGTTAGCATCAAATGTTTGTCGCGAAATCTTTCGTGTCAGCCGATGAGCTAGTTTGACATTATTGATTTATTCACTATAAGCTACAATTCCAAATAATATCCTAAAAATTAGAATGCAATTGATCTTTAAAGGTGTTATTGAATGTTAAAAATTTCAAATTTTGTTTTTTAAGCTAGCTGTCGAAATAACCGTTCACCAAAACCTCGGTCCAAAAAAATGAAAATTCAAGATGTCTTTCGCTGTCCTTAAAGGCATCCTTAATAATAATACTTTCATACAGAGACCGACTGTGTGATTCAAGCCCGTATTGCAACTTTAATGCTGCTGTAGTATATAAGCCAGAGAATAAACATAGTTAAAACGTGCTTAATTAGGCTACAAGCTAAAATCTACTTTTATATTTTAAAAAATTCCTTGAGTAAAAGCTTTCTTCGAATATTTTTCGAAAATTAAGAATTTCTAACTAATTCCAATATTAAACTTAACTTTAAGTCCAATTTTTTCGCTAAACGGTTTTCTCCGTAAAATGACATGCAATGTACTTTCTGATACAAACGCTACTAACAAATATTTCCAAAACGAACCCTTTTGCATCTTTATTATGAAGGAGTTTCTTCAATTTCACTTCTACTTGCATAATTAAGAGGTAAGGTCATAAATGAGGTATATGTCGTTGATTGAACCTCTACCCTCCAATATTAAATGAAATAAATTGAACAACTTTCATCACTCCTTGTCCATCATCATATCAAAGTTAACATAGTTCTTGCCGTCGTAGATTTCCAAGTTCACATAAGTCTGGAGAAGAGATAAGATAAAGACAACACCTGTCA